ACAATGGACTCTGAAAAACAAACTGAGAGTTCTAGAGGGGAGGGGGGTGGGGGGATGGTTTGGCCTGGTGATGGGTATTAAAGAGGGCACGTTCTGTGTGGAGCACTGGGTGTTATGCACAAACAATGAATCATGGAACACTATACTACAAACGAATGATGTAATGTATGGTGATTAACATAACAATAAAAAAGAACAAAGGGAGGAATATCAGAGAAGTATTACTTTTAATTGCATCTCCATTTTAACAGGTGTATGTGAATCTTATTTTTATATAGAAGCCTTAAAAGAGAAATGTGAACTTGAAACCTCACGACCTTGAAGCATGCTGATCGCGTTATGTTTTCACTGGGCAGGGCTTCAGAAATTCATTTACACTTGAAAAGGTTGTCTTCTAAATGATAAGTTAAATATACTTAATTGAGAAAAAAAATTTCAAATTGGTAAAAGTATATCAACTTCTGTGTCTCTGACATTATTTTAGGAGAAGGTGACCTGGCTGGATTGGAGCCAACTGAAAACAGGGTGAGGCTGGCAACATGCCTGGTATCTCCAAAACTGTTAGTTTTTGGAAGCACATTTTTACCTTTTTGGATTGTTTCAGAAATTAGACTTTAGGGTACAGCGCGGAATTGCTGTTGGGCCCACTCTCATTACTTAGTAAAATAATAAAAGATGAGGCAACACTGTAGGTAAAATACTGTTCAAAAAGGTGGCGGGATGTTAAGACAGTATTTAGAATGGGGAAAATGGATTGGATTGGAGGAGAAAAGGAATAGGAGCTAAGAAGGTCAACTTCTGTATATAAGGTAATTTTATGGTAGAAATCAGTGTGAGGCTGAGAGACAGCACAGTAAAGAACCTGGGACTCTGGTCCTCATCAGAAGCAATCCAAAGGTTGTACACAGAGCCTGTTGGTACATGATCAGGACCAGGGAGCAGTGGCTCTCCATGGGTGATGGCAAAATGACCTGGGGTACAAGTGAGCAAAAATTTGAAGCAGACAATGATTCAGAAGCAGTGACATTCATAAAGACTGCATGGCAGAAACAACCCTGGAATATATTACATATGACATGAGATAGACTACAGAGAAATATACTGTGACCATGGTTCTGGATTTCATAAACTCAAGAGTATTCAGCCAGATAGCCAGGGGGTGGACTGTGGATACCAGGGCTTTCTGAAATGCTGAAAAGCTGGAGGCAGAAATTTTGTTCTGGAACATCCATGAACTGACTCTGTTTCCTTAACCCAGATAAAGAGGTAGTTTTGCAGATGCCGAATTTGGTTTAAGAGCCCGGAAAGCATATTCTATGTTTAATGACTACAGATGCAAAAATATACACCTCCCATTTCTGTAAATGCATAATTTCAGTACTCTATTGTCCTGTATTCTTGGGTATATACATTTATATATATCTTGGGTTAAGTTTATATATATGCATGTTTGTATTTTTTTTTTTTTTACCCAGAATGGTTGACATAATTCCTAAATTTCTAAATAAATAAGGATAGTAAATTATCACAAGTGAACTTTCCAATGAAGTTCTATCTTGCATGGACAGTGTCACGGGATGGTTGACAGCCTCTGTCAAGTTTTTTGGAAACCAAGGAAAACAATTTGAGATAGTCTACATTGCTTGTTGCTTCTTTGCTTGCATCAAGTTCTGAATCCTTCATTAAATTAGCAGCCTAATCTTGCCCTATTGTGTAAATTTTGTGTGTGCACAATCTCTGTGTATCTTCTTGCCAATGTCTAATCTACCTGAAATACTGCACACATTCTGGTTTTTCTCTGTCTTGAATATGGGGAGGGAATAGCACCTTCTCTCTGGGCTCAGCAGATCTGCAGACCCTTATCATATTCTTCTTCTAATAATCAGATCTAGTTCCAGTCAGACAGCCCCAAGATTACTATATGTTTTGCAATGAAAGGAGCCAGGATAAGGCACAGTGCTAACCCTAAAAGAATCTTAATGAACCAGTCCTCTACTCTATCAGTTTTCTCTCTCATTTCTATGACCTAGCTCTCCGGGCCTTGGAGCACCTTGGGATGACTCTGACTCTAGGGGGAATTTACACTCAAGAGCAAAGAGTTTCTTACCAGATGCCAAGAGATCATTGATGAGCACAAGGAACTTCTCATCAGCCACCTGGGCATCGGTCATGAGAAACACCGTGCTGAGATTCTTCACTCCAGCTTTCAGGCACAAACCGGCCAGGTCCATCTGTGAAAACAATCAATATTAAAGATCTTAGGGAAGGGGGGCGGGGCAAGATGGCGGAGGAGTAGGAGACCTGGATTTCATTTGGTCTCAGGAATTCAGCTTGATAGGGATGAAACCATTCTGAACACCTACGAACTCAACAGGAGATCAAAGAAAAGAATAGCAACAACTCTCTGAACAGAAAAGCGACCACTTTCTGGAAGGTAGGACGTGCGGAGAAGTGAATCCAAGGTGATATTCGGGAGGATAGA